TTAATTTTTCATTAAGATAGTGATTTATTTTAGTATCGTAATTATAATTTATACAACTAAAAGGTTTTATATTAAAAGAAGAATATTTTAAAAAATATGTAAATTCATATTTTTTATTTTTAATAAAAAAAAATAAATATTTAATCAGAATTTATATTTATTTTATTTTTTTTTTTAAAAAAAAATTTGTAATTAATGAAAAATTTAAAAAAGATATCAATATTTTAATTAATTTGTTATCTAATAATATATCTATATATAAATTATTTATTTTTTGTTTAATTTCGGATATTTATAAAGTATATTTTTTATATTTTTTTTAGTTAAAGAATTGTTATATTTTATAGTATTATAATATTTTATATTTTTAATTTCATTAATATTTTCTTTAGCTTTAACTTTATTTATAATTATTTTTTTTTATTAGTGTTTTTATTTAAATTTTTATTAAAATTATCTAAAAATAATTTTATTGCATTATTTAATTTTTTAATATTATTTTTTTTATCATTTATTAATTTATAGTTTTTATCATTATTATATTAATCATTATAAAAATTATTAGGTGAATAATCAATATAGGAAATATCAAAAGTACTATCACCAGTACATATATATTCTGTAAAGTTTATATTATGAATTAAAGATATTAATAAAAATAGTATAATAATATTTATTTTATTTAATTAATTAATATTTTTTTTACGATATTCAACATTAGATATATATGTAATTATATCCATATTCTCAAGATTGTTAACACATATTTCACAAAGATTTAATTTATGAAAATTTTTAAGTATTGTAGTAAAAACTTGTTTCATTATTCTATCACAGTTTTTACATCTAAACATAGTAAAAATCCATCTTTATTTAAATATTGTATAATATAATCATTTTTTTTGTTTTGAATAGATTTTTTTATTGCTACATCTATATTACTATCTATTATTATTATAAAATAATCTTTTAGTGTTTCACCATCAAGAATTGTTCTAAGAATATTAATATACATTGTATCATAAAAATTAAACCATCTAATTGCATTTATAGAATTTTCTTTTTCTTTAACTTTATATTTAATTTTTTTAATATCTATTTTTTTTATTAAAACACTTTTTATAATTTCCTTTATTTTTTTGATAATTTTGTTTTTTTTATCAATAGGAATTGTATTAGATTTTTTTGATGTGAGATTCCATACCTTTTCTATTAATAAATTTTTTGATTCAATTTAAATTTTTGATTTGAAATTCATATCAATAGCTCTTAATTTGGTTTTAATAATTAATAATTGTATATTTTTAATATTATCTATATCAATTTCCAGAGGTGGTAATTTACCTTCTGTATGTAAAGCCCATAAATTTAGATCTTTTGCATTTGATCTAGTAAATTATCATATGTAGAACATATTTGATTAACAGAACTTAGTTTAGGATTTCCTTTAACACTGATCATAACAGCTTCTAGTGAACAATTTTTTTTATATCGTAAAGAAATAGATGCCCAAAGAAAATTTTGATATTTATGATTATTAATATTTTTAGTAAATAAATAACCCAATGTGTTTAATTTTTTCATTGGTTCTTTACCTAAAGGAAGCATTATTTCAGTTATTAGATGAAATACAATATTATCACTTGGTATTAATTTTTTTAATTGTTGTGTAGTTAAAAAAGCTTTTCCTTTTTTTAAATATCCAACATGACCTATTTGTTGGACCATACTTGCGACTGATAAGTATTGAACATCTTTTTCATTATAAATTCTTCTTTTTGCTCCTAGTCCTTTTCCTAATTTTTCTAATTGTGTTTCTTCAGTTAATATTACATTATCAATATCAGGACTAAATCCTATTTCATAATTAATATTTGCTATAAATAAAGAACCAGATGACATTCCTTCAGTTATACCAGATATAGCAGATGAATTTGTATTATCAAATATTACAAAAGGTATATCACTTTCTTCTAATAATTTAAATTTTTTTGGTATTAATCCTGATTTTAATATTGGTTCAGCATCAGTATCTTCTTCATTATTTATTTTTCTAGAATATTTATTTGCAGTTGTTCTAAAGAATATTTGTGTTTTTTCATTTTCCCAATTTGTTTGATTAGAAAATTTAGTTATAGAATATACTTCTCTTAGTTTTGATGTTGATATAGAAAAGTTTTTTTTAGGAAATGTAGCACTTATTAATAAAGTATTATATCTTATTCTAATTATTAGTAGTTGTATTACTTGATAACTTGTATTAGGAAAATGTGCTTCATCAAATATAATAATAGTATTTTCTTTATCTATTAATTTGTTTTTTATTTCTTTTAAAGCTTTATCAAAATTATCATAATTTTTTTAGAATCTTTTAATTTATTAATATTTACTTTTTTATATGCAATATATTTAACTAAATGATGTAATTGTAATATTGATAATGTTGATTTTTTTGGTTCAGTACTAGATTTTTTTTCATATATTGGTTTTTTTTTATTAGGTTTACCTTTATCATCTTTATCATATCCAGTAAATTTATTCCATAATGCTAATTCTTTATTTTTTACTATATATAGTATTATTCTATATTTACTTCTTTTAAGATAGTAGGTAACTAGAGTGACCTTAGACAGTGAACACTTTTTGTAACCTCAC